AAAGAAAGAAAGAAAAGATAGCCAGGCACAATGGCTCATGACTATAATCCTAGCACTGTGGGCTGAGGCCAGTGTATTGCTTGAGGTCAGGAGTTTGAGACTTTTAAGAGTCAGTCTAAGCAAGAGTAAGACCTTATCTCCTCTAAAAATAAATTTTAAAAAGTAAAAAAAAAAGATAGAAAATTTAAGACAAATTCTTCAGATTACTATTCAAAAGTCAGAAGGATTTCTATTTCAAGAGAAGGATTATTAGGGCAGGGCCTGTGGCTCACTGGGTAGAGTACCGGCCTCATATACCAAGGGTGGCTGGTTCAAATCCGGCCCTGGCCAAACTGCAACAAAAAAAATAGCTGAGTGTTGTTGCAGGCACCTGTAGTCCCCGCTACTTGGTAGGCAGAGGCAAGTGAATCGCCTAAGCCCAGGAGTTGGAGTTTGTTGTGAGCTGTGTGATGCCACAGCACCCTACCGAGGGTGACAAAGTAAGACTAACTATACAAAAAAAAAACAAGAAAGAAAGAAAAAGAAAAGGCTTATTAGCTTTTCTCCGGAAACTCCATTCGTTTCCAGACCATACCTAGGTGTGCCTCCTTCAGTAGACTTAGGATACTTTTATCAAACAGTTTGGATGTGTTTGGGAGCATCAACTTTGCAGTGTTAACTACAGAGCATTTGCCACTGGTTCTATTAATTCTCTTCTGCAAAATCCTATTTATGATAGCAATTTCACTATATTTAGCCAGTTATGTAAAGTAATGGCTAATGATTACAAGGCCATGGTTGATTCCTAAAAAACTTCCCTGTCTAGCCTTCAGCTGTATTCTCTCCCCCTACTCCAAGAACTCAAACTGCATAGAAGCACAGGCAAAAGATGATGTACCAGTATAAATACTGCTGCTCTTCCTAGGGAAAACATTCACAGTGCTGATTTTGGGGGTCACTGTGTACACATGCGCATGCATACACGTACACACACACACAGTATAAGCGACTGGAAAGTGCAACATGCCACAGCAACTAAAAAAGGGGCCTGTGCATGTATACTAGTCCTCAAATCACACTAGTTGTGCTGGTCTGGGGCAGGTAACTACCTCACCTTTTGTACCTTACTTGCCCTAATTAGGGTTGGTAGGAAGGAGAATTAAATAAATATGTATGTAAAGTTCTTTTTTTTTTTTGAGACAGAGTTTTACTATGTCACCCTTGGTAGAGTGCCATGGCGTTATAGCTCACAGCAACCTCAAACTCTTGGGCTTAAGCGATCCTCTTGCCTCAGCCTCCCAAGTAGCAGGGACTACAGGCGCTGGTCATAATGCCCAGCTATGTTTTTGTAGTTGTCGTTGTTTGGCAGGCCCAGGCTGGGTTTGAACCTGCCAGCCTTGGTGTACATGGCCGGTACCCTAACCATTGAGCTGGTCAGGCGCCGAGCCATATGTAAAGTTCTTAACAAGAAAAATAATGTTCAATAGAAGGAAATACACTAAAATGTTAACAACAGCTATTTCTGGGAAATGGCAAAATGACAACTTTTAATTTATATTTACAAACTTGTTTCCCAGTTTTTCTACCAGCATGACGTTTTGATTCTTTCAATTCTTATTTTTTTTAAGGATAAGCTACTTTATAATAGAATTGCTTGGATAAGAGGAAAGCTATTCAATACCAGTTGAGCAACACAACCACATTACTAATAATGTTTTTACTGTGTAACTCTCAAAAAACTAAAGTGACAAAGAATCACCTGCCCACAAATATTCCATTTTTCGAAGAGGAAACATGAGAAGCATAAGTTTTGATTTAAGACAGAACTGGACTTGAATTCTGGCTCCAACACTTACTAGTTGTATGACTTTAGGAAAATAGCTTAACATTCCTAAGACTATTTTCTAATTTCTATTATCTGAGATAACACCCACTGTGTAGGGTCACTATATTAAAGAGAAAAATATAAGCAAAGGAGGTGGCACATAATAGTTCAATACACAATGGCTGGTATTTTCTTCCAGCCACTGGCATATGTAATTTTCACATAGTTATAATCACAATGTAGCTATAATTCTATTTTCTTCCTGTTATGAAAATAAAATTGATTTGCTCTATTATTTTAATAAAAATCCTGTTTTCTGTGAATTGTGATGATTACCTTGCGTCTTTCTTCTGCAGCTTCTAATTTCTTCTGAATTTCCTCCAGGGAAAGATCCTTCTTCTTTGGAGGGGAAAGGGGGAATTCTGGGACAGATTCTTTTGACCGAGGGCTGAGAATCAGCTCAAAAGCCTGGCCTGAGGCACGCTTCTCCAGTTCTTTCACCTGGATATCTGAAGTTGATCATATTTATGATAATTCAAAAAACTAAGGTTCCTCTATTTTAATAAACTATCCTGTAATTCTTAAAGAAACAAATAAACTTAATGAATAGAACTAGGACCAATAAAGACGTGTTTCCAGACAAGATATTACCTAAATATCATCTCCCAGAAAAACAAAGCTCAATAAATACTGAGTTTTGGATTAATAAATACTGTTCTAAGACATCAGTACTTGACTGTCACTTTCATAAACAAAAGACTTGTGCAAATTCCACAATTTTGCTTCAGATCAAGTCAAAATGTCTAATAATGAAACAATTATGAACTCAGTAAATTTACACAATAGTCATTTTTTCTTAATTATTCTATTCATAAAATAGCTTTTTGACAAGTGACAAGGTAAACACCCATGACCTGAGGCATCTCCTAATTTAACATCATAAACTCAACACAATTTCAGCTTTTCCAAATAGATTACGTACCAGATGAAGCCATGGTGAATAGAAGACAAGAGACTGGCAGTGTACTCTACACAATCCCCTGGGGGTAAGGAAAGCTCTGAAAATGATTTTCAAAAGCATGCAATCAATTTCTTTGAATTTCTATATTTCTTAATTCACCAACACAAAGAGATCCCAAATCACATCCATGAATGTCAAGAAAAATCATTGTGTGGAATTAAACAAGAGATCATTAACCAAGAAAAAAATTATTAAAATCTACAAAATACTGAAAAATGTTGGGGAATATTAACTGAACCTGACGTCGGTTGCAGAAAAACATCAGGTTAACTGAGCTTGCCCATTCAAAAAACAACTCATGGATTATTGAAGTTAGACGACGTCAATCAAGTTACAAGGATGAAGGATTTTTTTCCTCTACACCGTGAGATGTTCCAGATTCAACTCAACAGTGTACACCGGAGCCATCTTAATGCTGCCTACAACTCTTTGTGCAAATGAAATACCCACCCTTGCTTTGTCTGTTTCGGCTATGGTAGATAACAAAACGCCAAAGCTAATATTAGCCAATAATGTCAAATTCTTATTGTTCCTAGGGTTTAAGCTCTTTGCCTACAAAGAGAAAATTAAGTTTTATGAGCCTCTAGATTTTTTGTTCCTCTCCAACCTTTTCCTCTAGGTTTTAAGATACTGTGCTGCCTTTATGTCATAAAAAACGCCGTATCTCGTGTTGATTTTTTAAAGATCATAATTCTTGCAGACCTCAGGCTAGTACCGAAAACGTAGGACTACAGATTCCCAACAGCTAGAAATTAAAATCAGAGGCAGCAAAATCGTCTAGCGTTAAGCAGAGCATCAGACTCAGCAGCGGACCAAAGATGGGCGTGGCGCTGGCCCGGGCGAGGAAAAGCGGGCAGGCTGCCCCCGGCCAATCGGAGCACACCCTGCGCTCTGGTTCCTGGCCCCGCCCCCTTCCTCCCCGCGCCTTTTCGAATCTCCGCGAACCCTGCACACCCCGAAGCCCGCGCGCGTGGGAAGGGGAGGGATGGGCGGGGCTAACGGTCCTATCCGGGTAACTCCGCCCCTCCCGGGCTCGCCTAGCTTAGACCCCCCCCCCAACTCCCGCCAAAAACACCTCGAGGCCGCTGCCACCCCCACCTCAGCTCAGCGGGTGGGGCAGGCCCCAAGAACCGGCCGCCGGGTAGCCCCTCCGCCGCTCGCCGCCTCCTCCCTTCGTCCCAATTCTCAATCTGTCGCCACGCGAGCCGTCCGCGCACCAACCGCAAGGACAGGACAATCGTCAAAGGGAGCCAGGGACACCGCCCCTCAGTCTGTGTCTAGGGCAACCGCGGGGAGGGGGCGCAACCCTGGCCGCCAAGTCAGGCCCAAAGGCTGCTGTTCCCGGGGGCGCCGCCCCACCCCTTCAGACAATGGGGACCCCGGCGGAGTCTGCAGGGAAGGGGCGGCATCCCTATTGTTTCCTAAACGGCACCCCGGGGCTGATGCCCTGAGCTCGCTCAGCCCCCTCCTCACGACTGCCGCGCCCCCAGGGAGCGGGGACAAAGCCGGGACTCCGCCTGACCCATACACAAAGCACAGAGCCCCCCGCCCACCAGCCCCTCGGGGCCCGCGGCCCCGCCTGCTGCTCTCCAGCAGGGGGTCGCTGCCACGACTCGGCCCCTCCCGCCAGCCTCTTTCCCCTCGTTGGCCCCAGCCAGCCTCCACCACCTCCTATGAAAGCCCCACACCCACCTGCTCGGTCCGAGCCGCCTGACCACACTCTGAGCACCAACAGACCCGAGCGCGCACAAAAGCGCCAAACAGCGGCACGTGACCCCCTTGCTGGGTTCCGCATTGGTCGAAAGCGGCGGCACGTGCCAGCCCCTCCCCCACAGCCAGCTTGGCGCCCCGCCCCTGGGGACCCCGGAGCACCTCGGGAAGTGTAGTTCAAGCAGGTGGGGCAGGGGACAACACCGGGATGGGGAGTCCTGGGGGGGGTATCCCCAAGTGTGAGCCGAGGACCAAGGCACGGGTCTCGTGCGGAAGAGGTCTTTGCGGTGGACCTTGGAGTAGGTCTGAACCAACTCTCTCATCTCTAGAAAAAAGGGCAGGGTAGAGTCGTTTGTGGGGGGGTCCTTCCCTACCTTTCAGACCTTGGCCTCCTTGAGTCCGCCTCTGTAGAGCGCGGTGCCCCGCTTCGCCCCTGGGGCAGAACTCAAACTGAGCGGGGCCCCTTCTACTGCCCTACCCGTGTAGTTGTCTGAGAGGATTGTGCACCTGTAACAGAACAGTGTCACCCCACGCCCCCGCATGGACGGCCTCTGCCCGCCCCGGCACCCTACCCCGGCACTCGCGTGTTACCTGTATTGTGACATCATCATAATTCCTAACCCACTCGTCCCTAACGGGTCACGGGCGTGGCCCTTCCTTCCCTGTGTACGTTCTCATTCTTATCTTCAGGTTCCCTAGCTGGTGACTGGGGACCTGTGTGGGACAGCGTGAGGCTCTGGAATATGATCTCCTTTGGTCTGACAAAGCCAAGGCTTAAATGCCACTCCATCTGTTCTGCCAAGCCTTTTGCGGATGATAGGGAAAAAAGAGCTATAGCAGTCCCGACTATAAGAACCGCAGTTAAGTATTGCTTTTGTTCTTGGAGCACGTGCTCCCTAGTGCAGCAGCAGGGCTCTTTTTAAAAATCAAAACAAAAGGAACCACAAGGTCACTGTTTCCCCTGACCTGGACAGTTCAGAACCACAGCAGAGACACAAAGAAAACTGGTCTGACCATGGCTATCTTAGAATGACTGGCCCCCTTTCCCACATGAACAGGAAAAGTAAATGTACATGGTTCTCAGACCCCTACTCCCACCCTTTGACCAAGACTGTGTTCTCAAGTGGTGGTCATTACACCAAAGGACTTACTCTTTGAGATCCTGACTAAGCAGAAGGGACCCCTTCATTTTATTAACAGGCTCTATCTCACCAAACCAAGAAACAAATGTGACCAACTCTCCTGAAACCACAATCCTGATTTTAAAAGACTCCTATGTCTAGTTAGTGGCTGGGGATATGCTAGAGATAACATACAATTAATGAGTGCTTGAGATTCTAAAAACTGGATCAAACAAGCAGCAGACACACCACACAAAGCAAATAATCAGCAATGCACTGTTGTCTGAAATATGCTCGTTTTGGCATTTTCTCCTACAATCACTCTTGTGTGGGGTCAGCCTTCCCTCAGCCAACCTAAGTGGTTTTCCATTAGCCTGTGAACAGGACCAGGAGTAATTTAGATTTTGAGCCCTTGAAAAGCTTCTCCATCTCAGACCAAACTAGGCTTCAAAATGGCCAGGTGTTGCCATCTGTCATTTTTCTCAGCAGAACCTCAAAAATCATTAGAAAAGTTGGAGAGGGGTGGGGATATGAAAAGTGATAGATAGGCAGACAACACAAATGAGCAAGGAACTCAAGGCCAAAGGCCTTTTCTCGCTGAATCGGCTTTTTATCTTGTGGTCTTTGTACTCAATCTGGTGATTTGCAGAGGAAGGTCCTACCTGCCTGATGTATATATATTTTTTAAACATATAAGAAATTGTCACACAAAAATCTTGCATTTCTGACTATTACTGTTGTGACAGAAAAAAATAAATCTTTCAAAACACTGATTATTTTCAATCACTTACACAGCTTCACCCCACCTTTTCTTTCTCCCTGGAGCAGATGTCTATTTCCATGGAAACCACAGCTAGGAATGTAGATGTTAGAACTCATGTCGATTTTTAATCTTTCTTAGCGATGCCACTTGGCTCCTGGGTTTGTTGTGAGATGCCTGGTCCTGCCAATATGTGACGAGGATTTCCGGAGCTCCCGGTGGCTGCTTAAGGACTGACGGGGTTGGGGTAAGGTTTCCCCTATAATGATCCTGTGAATAAAATGGGGCTTGTGAGGTGGGATGATCTCTGTTGTTTAGGGTGAGGCTGGCTTTATGAGAGCCAGACCACAGCAAATTATTGTGAACACCTGTGATTGTTCCTACGCGGGCCTTAGACTAGGAAAGGCTTTTAATATAAGGAGAGAAAACAGTTTTACCACTTGACTTTGGAGAGGGGCAGAGTCTCCCTTCTTGAAAACCTCCTAAAAGTAATTTCAAGATCTCCTCCCCAGGAAGCGGCAGCAAGGAGTTAATGTTCACATCTTGGAACTGTCTATCTTTGCCTATGGGAATTATTTTTGCCTCTGCTCAGATGGCTTGGTCGGATTGTTGTGGAGCTAAGTGTGACTGTGGATCAGCATAAAGCGAAGTTGAGATATGGCAGTCCTCCAGCCCATTTGATCTGTGTAGACAGCTAAAGGAGAGCACTTCAAGCTTCAAAGTTTAGAAGGAATGTCTACACTGATCAAATGGCCTTCTGGGCTGTTGTCAGATCTCTTCTACTGCCAGAGAACCCTGGACAGCCTTTGTTCATTGTTGGGCTGCAAGGCTTGTCTCCCACATAGGCTGTTTGCGGGGCCTGTCCTTGGCAAAAGGGTGTCGTGGGAGAGATTCTCTTGTTGTCCACAGCCTCTCTGTTCCCTTTGTCTGCTGATGCTCAGGCACTGTGCTCTCTGACACTCCCTTCTCTGTTCAAAACCTATCTGTGAATCTGCTATTTTACGCATCTGCCTCCCCCAATAGACCATTAGGTCCTAGAGGCAGGGTGGTGTCTTTGTCTTGGCATCCCTAGTGCCTGGCTCTAGGCCTGCCCTAGAGGATGGTGGCAACAGGATGTTTACATAGAACTTAAGGCAAGAAAAATCCCTCTCATCTTCAGCTTCCTCTTCTATAATATTAGACACCTGCACCATAGAAGGGTGGGGAGGATTAGATGAGATAATGTACATGAAAATGCTTAGCACAATGCCTGGCATACAGTAATTGCTGAGCACATGTTAAGTATCATTGTCAGAGAAGTTTCTTGATTGCTGTAGGTTATTGAATGAATGAATAAATGAATATTAGACTTTGACCCTTTGGTGGGAATTGTAGTCACTGAGTTGATTCTTCCCATGGAATATTTTTAAAAATTCAGTTAATTTAACATTTTAAATATGTAACACATTTATATGGTTTAAAATAAAATCTAAGGCGGTGCCCGTAGCTCACTGGGTAGGGCGATGGCCACAAGGCTGGCAGGTTTGAACCCAGCCCAGGCCAGCTAAAATCAACAATGACAACTGCAACAACAATAAGAAAAATAGATGGGCACTGTGGTGGGTGCCTGTAGTCCCAGCTACTTGGGAGGCTGAGGCAAGAGAATCGCTTAAGCCCAAGAGTTGGAGGTTGCTTTGAGCTGTGATGCCATGGCACTGTACTGAGGGTGACATAGTGAGACTTGTCTCAAAAAAATAAAATAAAATAAATCTAAGAAGTATTCTTCCTTCTCCCTTCTTTTTCTTTTTTCTTTTTTTAGAGATAGAGTCTCACTTTATCACCCTTGGTAGAGCGCAGTGGTATCACAGCTCACAGCAACCTCCAACTTCTAGGCTTAAGCGATTCTCTTGCCTCAGCCTCCCAAGTAGCTGGGACTACAGGCGCCCATCACAATGCCCGGCTATTATTTGTTGCAGTTTGGTTGGGACTGGGTTTGAACCTGCCACCTGTGGTATATGGGGCTGGCGCCCTACCCACTGAGCCATAGGCGCCACCTGTCTCCCTTCTTTTTCTATATCTACTAATTTCTCTTGCAACCGTTCCCTCACCATAATCAGTTACCAGTTTCCTGTGTGTCCTAGAGTTTCTTTGTGTGTGTGTACACAGTTAAATTTGTAGATATGCATTTTCAGCGCCCCCCC